ATGACTAAACCGAGTGACATTTGTTTTGACGTTTTTTTTTCTTTTTATGTATATACATGTATTTTATTATTTAATCAACGACAGTACGAAACGTACTATGATTAATTGAATAAAAACTAAATGAAAAGAAATATTTCCGAATGATAAAACAGATTGAGTGCTTTTGCTCGTTTGAATTCCAATATTTGACAATATCTCGAGTGAATCATAATATTTTTTCATTTCAACATATCGAGGACGTAAACCACAAAATTTAGGACATTCATTAGGAACATTTGAATATTTTGTACATAATGATTTATCATGTCCATATTTACAATCATCAGATAATGATGAACAATCAAGATTTTCACATTGTTTATCTGCAGATAAACTTTAATTTTCTCTATATATAGAGAAAATTAAAGTGACATCTGTTTTAAATTATATACACCTTAAACTTTTAAAACTTCATGACATGAAACAAGAAAGATTCGATCAAAATTCATCGAATTTTTGGCGTAAGAGAAAATTGATCTCCATGCACCAATATTCAATACCGTCTTCTGTATTGTAGAGATAATATATGGTTGTTTACAATATGGCAGCATTCACAATGGAACAATGACTGAAACTGTAGAAACAAAACATTTTCCTTATTTCGCCAAGTGTACAGACTAAGAATGTATGTAAGGTGCACGTAATGCAAAAGTTGAGCAGAAAACAAAACTTAATCAATTATACATCAGTTGATAGAGCTTTCCGCGCTGATTCAGAATATATATCTTTCAAATTTCCAGATCTCATCTGAGCCGAGAAAATCGCAAAATACTAAAAATTCCAGAAAACCCCAAAAAAGCGGCTTTTTCACTATTCATTTCAGGATTGATGTATCTTTGATTAGACTTTTCTCAACAAAAGTGTATTATCTAGATCGAGCACATAAAACTGTGCTATTAAGATGAATTTGACGAAATTTCATCGATCTTGTGACTTTTGGTTGACTTACCAAGACCTATCTAGTATACTGTCGACAGCCTTACATTGTAAACCTATCTCCTTTTTTTCTGTAAGAGCTAAAATGATTTTTTTTTCAGCATTCGAACCATTATATCGCTAAGAAAAAAGTTACATATGCTCGTAATCCGGAGTTTT